CCCTTAGTACAATATCAGCCACATCAGAAGCTTTAGAACGGCAAATACAGCAGTATCATTTTAAAGTCAAGGTAGGTTCAGGCAGCGGCTCTGACAGCTGCTGCCTTCATACAGCCTTCATGGAGCCACAACTGAAGCCTCAAAAGCATTAGGCTACATAACAAATACACAATATTACAATCTAGATATGAGTATCTGAGGAAATGATCATTTCATTAGTTTCATTATTATAGGGAGGATCTGTGGAGATGTAAATGACTGGCTATCAAACCTAATAGATATTAGGAGGCCCTGCAATGGGGGAGGATGAGTGGGCGGACTCAACTGAAAGAGATGTGGTAATTAGCAAAAGCAATTCACCAATTTGAGCTGAATTCAAGAAGTGATGAGCCACTGAATGCTCAGCTTGACATTAGTGTGAATGAAGACAATGCAGGAAGTAAAGCCCACTCACAGAGCACATACATAAGTTTTCAGAGTGAGGCCGAACTCTTCTCCTAACATGGTAATGAGGAGAGGAGACGTTCCACAGCCAGTCACCTCAGTGCACACCATGGCTGCTGGGAACTTAACAGGGGAATCATTGGGTCCAATCACACCTCTATTTTTCTTAAAGGAACAGTGAGTCAGATTTCGGGAGATAGTGTGGTGTCGCTGAGGATTGTAGGTTCCAACCAGCTGAAACTTCTCCCAATTAGGATTTCTTCAGTGTTTATTGTTCAGGAGGTTTTCTGCGTAGGTCCAAGGAAAGGCAGGGGCCCCAGAACAGAGCCATGCCGCCAAATATAACACTGTTAGTTGTACACAAAAATGCCGTCAAACTTTTAGGACAATGTTTAGTAACATGTCTCGTCATATTAACGGACTGTGGCACTTTATTTTAATTTACCATCACAGGTGTTCATGGTGGTTAAGAATAGAAGTGGCAGGCTGCAGTTTGCCTCCCTTCACTGTGTTATGATAGGTTTTCCAAGAATGACACAGCCACCTCATTATACCCATAAACCATTGCGTTTTGGGGTTGCCTCCCATGGCTGGTTCAGATTAGGTTCTCACTTCTAATGAACCACCACTCTCTAATGTTCTCTTGGAGGAGGAGCAAGGCTCACTTCCTGGCATCTCTGGGTGGTTAATTGGTGCCACATTGACACTGTTTTCAGCTGTCCACAGATTGAAACATAGAAATCACACCTGTTGCTTTTCTGATTCCAGTAATTAAAGCTGCAGATTCATACAGGCGTGTAATGACACATGACACTTAATTAGAGATAAAATGACACTATGTTTAAGCTGGTCTTGGTTCAGCTTTCGCCCTCTTTGTTTTCCTGATTGATTGTCCCTTTGAAGCTCACGCACTTGGTGCTTACACCCCCCGTCCAGCCTGCTGATTAAAACATATCTTTGACAGAAGGAGAAGCTGCGGGGCTCTTCTTTAATCATACGCTGGTCTGCTGATGTCATTCAAGAGGTGAATTAGCATGATGCAAAGACGCTCTGGAGACAGATCTCCAAGGCTTTGTGAAGTCTCAGAGGCAAAGGCGGACATGAAAAGGCTCGGGAGGAAGACATCGTCAGCTTTAATATGCTTTTTTGCTCCACTTGTCACGGACTGTGACAACATGTGTAGTAAGTAGGAACAAAGGCCTGAGGAAGCACTATTTCTCTTCTTGCAAGATGAAAGCTAAATGCAGCAACAAGTGGACGTGGTCGGCTCTCACTTTCAGACCTAATTAGAGACCAGAGACTGTGAGTTATGAGTATCATCATTTTATTGAAATATTTCAACCTCACAGGTTTCAAACCATACTTGTCTTTAAATTGCCAATACAGTGCCCACTCTAATTATATTCCAATTCTCTGGGTTATACTGTAATTAAAGGAGTAGCTCAACATCTTGGGAAACACACTTTCTTTTTTTTTATAAGAGTAAAAAGAAATGATTGATACCGGTCTTGTGACATCAACATATCCTCATACAATGGTTTGGATGATATGTTATGATGAGTTGAAACAGGTCGCTACTTGCAATGCGCCGCTCTGCAATGTTCTAAAAACATGCTGGGTCAGACCAATGCAACAAAATGACACGTGTATCATCTCTAGTCAACAACTCTCTGTACTTCCGTTCTGATTTGCAGCTTTTCAGACTTATTTTGTGGCTGAATATAATTTGTAGTGTCGTGATAGTGAGATACTGGCTACAGTGATGAAACAAACCAACATCAGGTGGACTGTATTCATAATCAATACGCCACAATAATATAAATAACCAGCACCAATTAATCAGTCAATGAGAATGTGTGTGTGGGCGGGGCATGAACACATATAGTGAGCAGCAGCGGTGACCCACAATCCGACATCGGCACATTGTGAGGATGGAAACAGGGCTCGGCGGGGATGGAGCACCTGCTGCAGCGGGTGAACACGCCGTCTGTGGCCATTTTGACTTGACCAGCTGACTTCACTACAAGTTGATTGGCTGTTGAAACAGGTGACGTGCTTTAAAACCAGCCGCTGCCGATTTGACCAGCTGAGTTGCAGGAGACACCATCAGCTGGCTTGAGTCGAGCTCAGGCTGGCCAGTTCACACCGCTGCAACTTTTCTCTGCATCATTCTAAAACGGTTTTGTCTTGTCACCAATCTGGTCTGAACTGGGCTTAAAGTTATGTAGATTAGGTTTAGGAAAAGAAAGATGGTTAAGTGTTAACAAGTCATGTATGCAACAGAAAGTGCCATACTTAGCATAAAGTTCTGAACTTAATGTAAAGTTACAGAGATTAGGTTTAGGAAAGAAGGCTTAGGAAGGTAAAGTTACCTAGGTTTAGGAAAAGAGATATGGCGATGACTTACTTTAAAACAACTCAAAGTTCACTTGGTTTCACATGAGACACAACCACAGGGGAAAATCCTGTGTTGTTTGACCCATTCACCACCCCAACCTGCCTTTTTCATGGACTGTCAGTCTTTATACTACTTCCTTCTTTACTCCCATCAGAACATAGTTCACATGATCAAAGCCTTCACGATTATGTCCCATATATAGAAATTACTGGCTCAGTGTTGAGTTCTATGTGAATACTGGTGCATTATTTTTCTTTGGTATACATATGAACATTGCATTTGAACAGCCTGAAAATAGAAATCTTTTACATGAAAATGGCTGCAAAATAATTCATAAGCAAATTAGCACAATTCTCTGGTGACTTTTTGATCATGCTATAGTGACTTTCCATTGAAAACTGTTGACTGGCTTTGCACGTCAATGCATTCAGCTGTTGCCAAGAAGTAGCAGAAAACTCCCTCCAAAACTGCAGGTTTATTTAACTTCCAGTCTGTGTGGATTATAAAAGAGAAATTCAACATGTTAATTAGAGCTTCGGGGCCGGGCTAGCTGGTTCCAAGTTAAGCTCTGTTATCACACAAACATGAGATTGATATTGATCCTCTCTTCAACCCTCAGATAAAAAGCAAACATGCATATTTCCCAAAATGTTGAATCAGAAATTTCCCCATCAGCAGTAATCCATTTTGTCTTCTTTTTCACAGCATAATGTTTGCATGCACGAAATGTTTGGACTGTAACATCAAAGATGCATTCTACTGTAAAATGCCACGTACCATCGACAGAGCAGTTAAAACCCATCTGTTTAAATGAGGCATCAAAGTGAACACGACACACAATAAAAATCCATTTATTTTCCATTCACAGTTCCCAATTTGTTTACAGGTCAGCTGGTCCAGATACGGTTTGGGTAAACAAGCCTTTAACTGTATGGATTAGGACTTCATGGCCACAATTTGCATAATCATCATGTTATATAACAATAATGAGCTTATTCCATATTCATTTTTGGAAGCAGGTCAAGTAAAATCATTGCTAGAATATCTGTGGGATTTTGCAAAAACCAAACTGGAGCCCAAACCTGAAAAGTCTTTCCTTCAGAGACGTGTGAATGTATAGCGTTTTTCCTCCATCTCCGTGTTGTGTACACACTGTCAATTATCGCATACATTTGGAAGAGCATAAATCTCATGTTGCTGTGAAGGAATTTATGCTGTGAAAACAGTGAGGGGGGCTGCACCATAATCTGGTATTCAAGTGAATGGAGAGGAAGCCTCAGTGTCCCTGAGCCTTCGCCTCTGTTTCTGTCACAATGATTTACAATAAAGCCCAGCAAGACTCTGTATGTGGGCTGCTGCATCAACATAATCTGAATTCTACTGTAGCAGCTGTAGAGCACTGACATGCCTCAGGCTGTTGGGAATTAAAGGGAATCCTAAGAGCAGGGTTCCTTAAGTTTATAGTTATGTGTGCTGTATAATCATAACTGTGGTTTCATCATGTAAATCTGTTCTGCATATGATGGTTTTAGCATTTGTACTGCAGTAAGACGCCACAGAGAGCATTCTGTTTTAATCTTTCTTTTGCTTTAATCTAAGTTTATGGTGATTATTTTTATTGCTATTATTATTATGATGATTAATATTATTATCAGTGGTAGCAATATTGGGGAAGTAGGATAGATATGATATATATGTAAATCATTAGTGTAGGAGAACTGTGGGACTAGATAAGTTTCGACTTCTTCCCACTCCTTATTGAACATGGATAACTTGTTATCATTTGTTGTTGTATTCTTTACCTTTTTTCTTTTTATTTTTAATATGTTCAAAATAAACTTCAATCAATCAATCAAGTTTTGATATCTCATTACTGTCTGTTTTTCTCCCTTTTCAGATTGTTAATTTGATCCTGTCTTACCTTCAAAATTTGGAGATGCCTGCTTTTTCAATCTCTGTGTAAATGACCATGGCATCTAAATTATTTCAGTGCTATTCCTGTCTCCGAGTTTAATCATTCCAGTCCAATAATTGTAAAGACTTCATTCCAGAAACTAAATATGGAGAACCAGATATGAGTTTGGACTTTTTGGATAGTTTAAAATGAATCTATGCAAATAGACAAAGTTATGACTGAAACTGATTAACATGAACTCACCCTCTCCTCCTCTTCTCTGAGGTCCGGCATGGTGCTGACACACAGCGTCACAGCAGTGATGGCTACAAATATCACCGACAGAAAAGCGAAGATCTTCCCCGGCAGGCCAGAGTGGGGGTTCTCCACCATGTCCCTCAGCCTTCGCATGCAGCCCCCCGTACAGGTCTCTTCCTGTGGCCCCGCTTCAGGAGGCTGCTGGCTCTCCTCGCAGGACTGCGGAGAAGTGAGCTCGGCCTCCTCATCCTCCAGCCTCTGCTGCTCCTTGTACTCCTCCTGCCTGAGCCGCAGCTTCCTGAGGCAGCACCAGTCCAGTTTGTTCTCCTCCACCCCCCAGTACAGCAGCTCCTCTTGGAAGGACAGGGCGCACATCTCCCTCAGCAGCCGCAGCTTCCCTGCTGCCAAGAAAGACACGATTGTGCGGAAAGCCGACGGGCTTCGGTCGAAGAAGTACTCATTGCTGGTGCCATCGTAGTCATCGCACAAGTCCATGATCTCGGCCTCGCTGCTGCATCTGCGCAACTTACCCAACCGTGTCAGGGGGAACTCGTCCAGCGTGGACCAAGGGATGCGGTACTTGATCCCCCCCACGTTGATAATGGCCGCCCCATCAGCCAGGCCGATCTCATCTCCATCCTGTTGGCAGGGCTGAGGCTGGAGCAGGAGCTGGGCTCGCTTGTAGAACAAACCCTTCTTGGATTTGACCTCCTGCAGGTTCTGCACACGTTTGAAGTGGAAGGTGGTGAACTGGTGCTCAGTGCTACCAGCCAGGAAGGCCACCTCCTGGTACATGACTGCCACTTTGCTGGGGGACCCTGTCCTGCACAATGCGATGGGAGGAGGGCTTCACAGGGTATGTGAGGTGACTGGGAGCTTGTCACCCATTCAGCAACACAGCATGTCTCTGTAAGACAAAAAAGATGAGTCAGCTATTTCATTTTTTGTGTGACACTTTTTTATGATTGCAGGACTTAGTTTCGTCGAGCCTCTGTCTATCTCTCTACCTCTACTCTGTAATATTCAAGTCAGTCTATGAAAGATCTGAAGGTGTCAGTATGCCTCAAATTAAGTAATTCTGACACCTCCCCTCCTTACTCTTTTCCAACGTCAGAACTGGTACTGTCCAAAAGTGTGTGCCATTATCCCCACTGACGTGATTACTGTGTCTCCTCCCTCTATTAAGGCCTGGTCACAATGCTGGTCAGCATTGACTTTCATGCATTATTCCACATAGCTGCTCCAGCCACAGCTATGTCTGTTGACTGAATTATGAGAGCATCTTGTACTGAGTAGTCTTGCGTAGCCAGACTTAACTCCACAGCCCTGTGACTGCGCTTGAGATAGGCCCGGAGGTGCACATTATCATTCTGCTGTAGGACTGTTTCTCTAAATGAAACACAATTGTCGTGGGTGGCGCTCAGCCGAGGAAGCAGCAACTGTGCCCATGCAAAATCGTCCCGTGAACGCACACAGTGACAGGGCTAACTGTTAGCATCACACAGCTAACGTTTATTTACGGGTTTAATCACAGAGTAAGTTGTTTCGGTATTGGTGTGAGTTTGCAGGGACCACTTAATGGCTCAGTGTTGGGTGTTAGCACTGCTGCTGTGTTAGCTCATGCTAACTCGCCAGGAAGAGAGCAGCTTCAGAGACAGCAGCAAATGAAAGTTTGTTGATTTGGCAAGGGGTCAGGACGGTCCAGAATCAGATCCTCCAGTGCAATAAGGACAAATTCAGGCATTGTTTGACTGGAGACATTTTGAAAGAAATCTATCTCACGGTAGCTACGTCCATTATTTTTGAAGTCTGTGGCTGAAACCCAGTCAAACGCAGTAAGAACATGTAGTCTTCGCACAAGAAAATCTAATTTGTAAAGTGATTCACAGAGTCCCAGCATCATTTTTTAACTAACTTCCTCATTGGACTGAAAACAGAGCACAGAAATAATGACTTTAATGTCAAAACAGTCTGTATTTTTAGAGAGGAACATCAAATACAACTTCTCTGGAGTCTAATTGCACAGGAAGCCCAAACAAAAGCAACTCAGTGTCAAGTTGCAGCCTGTTCTCAGTGCAGAGAAATTAATCATGTTGTTTTTCTATTTACTGTATCACCAGGCTGTGGAACGAGACAATTTCAAACATTGTATAACAAAGTGCAGAAAATCAACACCACCACCTGATCACAGCACAATGAGCCCGATATAAACTGAGCTGCTATACATGTGCAGTAACACATGTTCACTACTGAATCTATGTGGTAATGGTTTATTAATTTTTCATCTTATGTGAACACACAGCTTCTGTAACAGTGTATTATTCAAAACAGGCTTTCCTGTAAAAAAAACAAAAAAAACAGTCTATATTCTGAAGATCAAAAGGAACACTGTAGGCAGTACTGACTACAACAGCAACTAAAGAAAATGCATGAAAGAAAGAACTAATAGGACAAAAAGAAAGAGAGAAACATAAAATAAAATCGAACATAATTTCCCCATGGATACACTTAAAGATAATGTCTGAGTGAAATAAAATAGGAAAGAAAGAACGGGACATAAAAGAACAACTGATCTGAACTCTACATATATTTCTTTTATTTATGGATGACATCTTGCTCTTTCTGTGTTGAAAGTACGTTGGGTCCAGTTTTAGTGATTTTAAGATGGGCTCACAAGATTTACCAAGATTTACTCACACATCAAACAGAGGATAAAAATAACCATCAAAATCACAGTGTTTAATATGCAGTTATGCTGCATCTCATGTCATGACACAACTCAAGGTTGTCTGTTGTCATAGTGACACAAAAAAGCTTTCCAGCTCAGATATCCATCATTGTCTGAAGCACATGTCCTGTGGTATTTCACTGTGGTGTTTCACATTCCCAACATCATATTTGTGTTCTGGCTCTCTCAACCCTGAGTCAGTGAAGCACGCATCAACAGCACGCTCACATGTACAATTAAAATGCCTGGAACATTTTGGTTTGTTTATTTTGTTTGCTCTTGTAAACCTTAAATATAACGTCATTTTCATTTTGGAATCAAAGGAAATCAATATTAGTGTATTTATCCATGTTTCAGATTTAGTGTATCATATTCTAAGTTAAAGATTCATCTGTAAATCTGCAGAGCATCTGTTGGCTTTTATTCTGAGTGATTATAAATCGCCCTTTATTATGTAATATAATATAATATAATATAATATAATATAATATAATATAATATAATATAATATAATATAATTAAAACCAATGTATTAACGTATGCTCATACAACAGTTTGTCTGATATCTTATGAAAATGTGGATACGGTTTGTGTGATATCTCATGAATTAGCACCCCATGTGGGTGGGCATCCTCATGTTACCCACTAAAGATACAGTTACGTACTTAATGTAAAGTTACATAGGCTAGATTTAGGAAAAGGAACATGTCTCCGCGTCATCACATTACATACTTAACATAAAGTCACGTATTTAATGTAAAGTTACATACTTAATATGAAATTACATAGCCTAGGTTTAGGAAAGGAAACATGGTTGGCCGCCATGTTACGTACTTAATGTAAAGTTACGTACTTAACATACAGTTACACACTTAAAGTTATGTAGGTTAGGTTTAGGACAAGAAGCATGGTTGGGCATTGTAACGTTATGTACTTAACGTAAAGTTACTTTTAAACATAAAGTTACATACTTAATGTAAAATTCTATACTTAATGTCTGGGCATCATCACATTACGTACGTAAAGTTACATATTATATGTAAAGTTACATACTTCATGTAAAATCACGTGGGCTAGGTTTAGGAAAAGAAACATGGTTGGCCGCCATGTTACGTACTTAATGTAAAGTTACATACTTAATGTACAGTTACACACTTAACGTAAAGTTATGTAGGTTAGGTTTAGGAAAACAAGGATGGTTGGGTGTTGTAACGTTATGTACATAGCGTAAAGTTGTGTAGGTTAGGTTTAGGAAAAGAAGCATGGCTGGGCATTGTCACATTATGTACTTAACGTAAAATAACATAGGCTACGTTTGAGAAAAGAAGCATGGTTGGGTGTCATCGCATTATGCACGTAATGTAAAGTTACGAATTAAACATAAAGTTACATACTTTACATGACGTTACATAGGTTAGGTTGAGGAAAAGAAACATGGTTGGGTGTCACGTTACATACTTTATGTAAAGTTACATAATGTAAAATTCTATTCTTTTCGTAAAATTACATAAGCTAGGTTTAGGAAAAGAAACATGTCTGGGCATCATCGCATTACGTATGTAACGTAAAGTTAAATACTTAATGTAAAGTTACATACTTAATGTAAAGTTACGTATTTAACATACTGTAACACACTTAACGTAAAGTTATTTAAGTAAGGTTTAGGACAAGAAGCATGGTTGGGCATTGTCACGTTATATACTTAGCATTAAGTTGCGTAGGTTAGGTTTAGAAAAAGAAGCATGGCTGGGCGTCATCACGTTATGTAGGCTACTTGATGTTAAGTTACTTAGGTTAGGTTCAGGAAAAGAAACATGGCGGGGCATTGTCACATTATGTACATATAAACATAAAGTAACATACTTAATGTGAAGTTACATAGGGTAGGTTGAGGAAAAGAGGCATGGTTGGGCATCATCACATAACGTATAGTTACATATTAAATGTAAAGTCACAGACATAATGTAAAGTTACACAGGTTAGTTTTAGGGAAAGAAACATAGTTGGGTGTCAACACATTATGTACTTAACGTAAAGTTACGTATTAAACGTAAAGTTACGTAGGCTAAAATTTAGGAAAGAAAACATGGTGATGACATACCCTAAAATAATTCAAAGTTCACTTGGTTTCACACAGGAAACAAACATCGGTTTCCTGGGGGAAAGTCCTGTTTTTGTTTGACCCATCACCCCCGAACCTACCTCTGTGTTCAGAGTTTTACTCTTTATATTACATCCTTCTTTACTCAGCATTTTGGTCACGTTACCACAGCCTTGCTGAATACATAACCCATGTATGCAGCAAGGCAAATTGCATTATTTTTTGTAGGAATACATACAAAGAGTGCATGAGAAGAGCCTGCATACATACATACTGTATTAGGGGGTCAGGTGCTGTGACAAAAAATGTTGGATAGAATTTTAAAAAGCTGATGATCAAGCAAAAAAAGCTACTTCTAAAAGTTCTGATTTCAACAGAACTGCTCAAACAGCACAACGTGTCGGTCTGTGTGGATTTACTTTGTTCACATCTTCTGAAAACAGCAGCTTTTTAGATCTAATTACACATTTCTGAGGCTGTGCTGTCTTAACAAGATGAGACCCATCTTGTTTTATTTAACATAAGCATCTGGATACAGAGTCCGGTAACACTCGCTGTTAGTGCAGCAACAGGCCAGCGATCCTTTACTCACTAAAGATGACTGCACTGGACCTGAGGCGGTGGCGCTGATGTAGGGAGACTGGGCACATCATCACAACAAATTAAGAGTGGGAGCCCTCTGGCAATCCTCAGAGTTTACTCCTCTATTGTGAGGACAATCATTTTGAAACAGGCCGCTTTCTCTGAGGGAGGGGGTCAGAGAGCTGCACCTCGACAGCGACTCAGCAAAGTGCTTCTGACAGAAGCAGTTTATTGAGCATGACACTGCACCCAGGGGTGGCTTCAAGGAGCACAGAGAGAATGAATTCAAGTTATATAGGAGGAGCTCCACAGAGACGCAACATGGCAAACTAGGCTTGCTTATTATGAAAATCTTGGATTTATGAATATAAGATTAAAGCTACAGTCGGTAACTTTTATAAAAATAACTTTTTGTCATAATTGCTGATACTGTCACTACATTCAGATTTTTTTATTTCATTGATCTTTGATGAAATAAATAAATGAAATAAATGAC